TTAAGCTAGCTCGGTTAGTGAATAAACTCGACGAATATTTCCCTTAAGTATCGTCTTCCCTAATTTACTTGAAACAACACACCCACACAATGTATATATATATATATATATATATATATATATATATGCATATATATATGTGCGTTAACTTTTTTATCGTTCGTAGAAATACCAGGGAAGGATATTACTCGCGTAAAAGAAGGTCAAAAATTACCGCAGAGAAAAGAAAGATGGAAAAGTATCGTGAATTTTTCAATGGGAATTTTGCGTTGCGAAATGAAAGTAAATATAAGATATACGTATATACATGGATATACTATATATACACACAAATATATATATAAGTGAAAAGTGACGGATGGATGCAGTGTCTCGATACGAGAATGCAGAATATGTTATTATATATATGACAATAAGTGTAGCCGACGTATCTTCATTCTTATTTCTCGTTACATTTTCTTCTGAAAATTGAACGATCTAACGGAATGTCGGATGGATGCTGGTAGCATGAAGTCGCCTACCGTTACGATCCACGCGAGTGATAAATATTCCTTTCCGAAAAGATAGAAATCTCATTATTTGGGAGACGGACGATCGACGGTTCTTCTACCTACGAAGTAGTGCACTACGTCACCCTGCTATCGTTATTATCGAGAGCCGTTCGAGTACGATCGAAGATATTCTACGTATATGTACCTACGTGTATACTGACCTATTCTGAACCCACACATACACACATACACACATACACACAAACATGTTCATTCCTTTCTACACACCTATGTATTTTCCTTTCTTCCTTTTGTTTTTCGTGCCATCTTTTCCCACCATCACTACTACTATCACTACTACTACTACTACTACTACTACTACCACCATCAAAACCATCGCTACCATCTCCCACGCGTTCTGTCCTCCATCCGCTTCTTCCATCAATCATCCGAGTTTTGTGCGAGATTCACCCATTATTCGATTCCCCTTTACCACCGTCGACCTCTTCTTCTTCTTCTTCTCCGTTTCACCAATCGTAACCTACTACTACTACTACTACTACTACTAGCATCACCTTCGTCTCGTCCCTTCCTGCATCATCTTCTCGACGATCCTTCTTCTCGGCTCTTGTGAGATTCGAGTTCTATTATTCCAACGAGATCAATTCTTGTCCAAGAAAAACGACGTCGATACCGATTTACCCTCGGCCATATTACCCCTTCCCCGTTTTTACACGTACACAATCAAATATGAAAATATCATTTGTTATTTTATCATCATCCAGCATTTTAATTGATCTCGTTTTCATAAATCCTCTAATGGTTTTATTTCCCTTTTTACCTATCTTGCCTTTCATTACTGCGATCCAATCATTTGTTGCTATTACTTTTTTTCTATCTTTTTTTTTGTTTTGTTTTTTGTTTTTTTTTTTGGACAAACACGCGTTCATTAAATTTTGTTTCGTTTCATTCGATTCCGATCGAAAGCACAGAAATAATAGGTAACGTTCGTTTTCTTTCCCAAAAGTATATAAAAAAAAGTTTAAATACGAGTTTTGTTATCGTTTAAAATTAAGGGAAGGGCCTTACTAACTATATAAACCTTGAAACTCGTTATTTTTGGTGATACCGAAAACTAAAGGATTATTCGAAATAACTTGACTGTAATCGGTTTGATTTGACGGTGAAACGTTGTTTTCCAGAGAGTGAATTAGAGAATCGTATTTATTTTAATGAGGTTTCATTTCTTTGATTCGTTTCTTCCTCATCTTCTTCTTCTTCTTCTTTTCAGATGAGGTGGTCTCTTGTGGCGACGGTGTTGGTGGTGGTTAGTGGTGATGGTGAAAACAGATTAAAGGATTTAAAACTCCTTTTTCCATTTATGACGGTCAACATTCTTTTATGACGAATCCATTAGAGTTGTGTCCGCGATAACGAAATTGAATTTTTTGTTTTCCTCCTTTCCACATTGCTATGTTACATTATTATTGTCAACGACGACGACGACGACGACGACGATCCACCGTTTGTAAATTGAAATGAACTTTTCTAAAGCGAAATCGGGCTCTGGCCATTTAATTATTATGCATTAAGGGTGTACCACAGTAGTGCACTTCCCCCTGATGATAGTTCGGTAGCTTCGTAAACGATACGACACGGTACCGTACCGTAACCAGCACGAGGCAAATATCGTCGACGGTCCTTGAAGGAGGAGCATCCGGAATTGTTTTTTTTTTTCAATGCTTCCCTCGTTCCTCGTATAGTTGTTGCACCGTGGAAAATGAATTTACGGGTCCGTTGAAAGAAAATGTCTTTCTTTCTCTAGGGGAAACTTATTCTAAACGAGGTGAAAAGTCATATTCATTTTTTTTTTTTTTGTTATTTTAACGTTTATATAAAAGATCACATAGGTGGTTACGCGTCAAGGACACCTGGTTACTACAATCAATATTAATTTTCACCCTAGGACACGGTATTGTTACAAAAATTACATAGAGTGAGGTTTCGGATGGATTTCTAAATCACTTGGTCACAAATGAGAGAAATAGAACAAGGGTGCAACTTCAATGGGATCATAAATATTTCTTTCTAAATCGAAAGAAAAAGAAAAAGAGAGAGAGAGAGAGAGAGAGAGAATCGTCGTACATTCTACTTCGAGATTTTCTATCTGAGAAATGGATGACGTTAGGACACGTGCAAGTAATGGATCACATTATGGCTATAATTCTATTTGATATTACATCGATATCCTAAGCTTGAAGTAAGACGAAGTGAAAAAGATCCCTAGTACTATCGAAAATAGTAAAAGAAAAGGGATTGATTTATAATTTTCAAATAATATTGTACGATTATAGCGTCTAGTTTTAAAAAAAGAAAAAGAAATATTTAATACTCCTAACACTTATTTCAAAAGTAAGAAATGAAGAGTCTGACACACCTGTTAAACCAATCGAAATTTTTATATAAAAGAGAATTAAAGTTCCATTACACCTTAAAACTCAAAGCTCACTTCTTTTCTCTAACCGAACGAACGACTCTCGTAAGAGGAGGTCCCCATACGAAGGGATTCTTTTCGTCCGTTCGAAAATATACCTTTGGAGTGTTTGAACGAGCTCGAAACTTCGTTGGAATCCTTTGAAATTGAAAAGCCTTCTCGTGGCTTTCCCAAAAGATTACGTCGAGGAGTGTGTGTGTGTGAGAGAGAGAGAGAGAGAGAGAGAGAGAGAGAGTTGTGTTATAGATAGAAGAAAATCGATTTGTAAAACGAATCTAGCGATGGAAGACGACGAGACAAAGGTAAGAAAGAAATAAAAAAAAAAAAAAAAAAATAGATAACAGATAAGTATAGAACGTAGAAAATAGTTGGAGAAAAGCGGCTTTACCTCGGTAGTGAGAGAAAGACAGAGAGAGAGAGCAGTGCTGTTTCTCCTTGTTTTCTTCTTTCCTTTTTATCTTCGAATTTCTCGATTTCAGCCGGAAAACACAAAAGAAGATTCAACGTGAATGATGAAAGTGGCGCGAGAACGATGCAACTATGATGTTGTTGTTGTTGTTGTTGTTAAAAATACAACGTGTGTCACTTGATATGCAAGAAATATCCATTCACTTTTATCAAAGCACTGTAGCCCTTTAATTCACTAAATCCCCCCCGGTTGAGCTTGCAAGAACACGAGCAACAGAAGAGCTTCTGGTGAATCCTCCTTGAAATCGTTTTTTTTTTTTCTTACTAACACAACGTTGTTGTTAGATGCAACTCTCGTCTTCTTCACACGCAACCAACCATACGTAATTTTTATCCCATTAACGTCGACTAATCATTTATTTTCTTATCATTATTGTATCGTAATAATACACTCTTCACGCAAAATGTTTCACGATCGATGATCGATCGATCAGATCAGATCGATATACGCGACCGACACTGTTTTGATTATTTCAATAGATAAAATCGATAAAATTAGTCCCGACACAGTTGTAACACGAACTATTTTCCTTTATTAAATGCGCTCGAATCTTGTTAAAATGTGGATAATAAACAAAAATGATCGAAATACACACAAATAAGTTCACTTATTTCCTCTTTCCATGAAACAGTGAAGAGGGGTGAGTTGTGGGAGGTTGGGGCGGAAACAAATTCCTGTTAATTTCACGTAGCAACGCACTCGATAACACCAAACAATAAAACTGCTTTTTATAGAAGAGGAAAGGGGTGGAAGGGGAGGGTTGTATTGGTAAGGGGTAGGTTTGTAGTAAATCGAACAAGTTTATAACGGGATTTTTTTCCGTTGGTTGATACAATCCGACGGTGGGATCTAAATGAGACCGAGACCCCAGAATTTCATTGATGGAAATGTTATGACAAAGTGTCAGAATGGAAGGCGTGGAATACGATATTTATGTATAAAGAAAGAAAGAAAATGTAGGGGGATGAAAATAAGGGATTATTTTATCGGCTAACAACCCACGTCGTTCTCGTCGTAACACCTCGCGAATTTCGGCGCGAAGAAGAAACATCCGATCGTACGATCCCACGTCGTTCACGTCTATGATGATATTGATACTCCAATAACACTTTGCTTCCCATCATCTTCCGATTACATGTCGTAATCGAAATTACATTATTATATGTATATATATATATAAAAGAAAAGAAAAAGAAAAAAACCAAACAAGTGACCAAGAGATAACAAGTTCAAGAATAACAAACTATATTTCTCTTCTTTTTATCTTATCTGTTGCACTTAACACGCTTATTATATCTTCCGATACTACTACGAACGTTGTTGTTGTGTTGTTGATATTGTTGTTGTTGTTTCATACGTTAACTCTTTTTTTTCTTTTCCTTTTTTTTTTGACCGTTCTTCTTCTTTCTCTCTCTTATCGTAACACGCGCGTTTTATCCTCTTATTTGTTGTTCGCTCTCTCTCTCTCTCTCCCTCTCCCTCTTTCGTTCAAGCTCGAGCTCAGACTCTTTGCGAAAAGCGGAAGAAGAGAAAAGAGAGAAAGAAAGAAAGAAAGAAAAAAAGAAAGAAAATAGTAGTGGTGTTGTGAGTAGTGTGAGGAAAATAAAAAAAAAGTGTGGACAGAAGAAAAAAAAATAAAAAACCTCGGAGGGCGGGGAGATAAAAAAAAAGGGATGATTTAGACGAACAAAAAACAAAAGGAAAAACGTTTCACGTGTCTCCGCGGGTAGATGATATAACGGGGAAGTAAAAGGGGGGAAAAGAAATAGCCGTGTGTTTCCGTTGTATAGTTGGACTGACGGATAAAGAGAGACAGAGAGATTCGCGCGCGCGAAAGCACCGCAAGTGATGCTGCGATCGGACTGGAGCCTCCGGCACGGCGCTGCCGTCGTGACGACTGAGAACCAAACCAAAATCATCCCTTGCCGCCGCCACCACCCTCCCCGAGATGCAGCTGGTGGTGGTGGTGGTGGTGGTGATGGTAGAGAGGGTAGTAGGCAGGGTGGTCGAACGGCCAGTGACGTCGAGCGCCCTCGAGTTACCCTGCGCACAACTACCACCACCACCACCATCACCATAACCACCACCATATTTGATCTTTTATCGTATTATCATTGGTATTCTTTTCTAATCAATGTTCATTTTTATTTTCTACGATTCTACGAAGAATAATAATTACCTTATCACCTCACCCACCCCCCCCCTTCTGTCGGTAGGTTCTTTCAAAGAGAAAACTGTTCGATACTTACTTACCTACCTCTCTTACAGAGAATATATAATAAAAACGAGATACACGACTCTAGCTCGCGAAAACGATGAATTTTCGATGCACCACTGCCGGGGTGTTAACTTAAAATTCTCTTTACAGACGACACTTTACCAGTACGGCACGTTCTTTAGGAAAGTTCGCGCTCAAAGCAAATATATATCCGACATAGTCGAGTCTTAACGCTTAAATTCTAGACGCGGTAAATCTCACCTGTCCGTTTCGACATAGATAAGATTTTGATAATATCAAATAGAACGAAATTGGAGAAGATTCAAGTTCCTTCTTTCCTCATAGTCCTTTTCTCAGCGTGACCAGAATACCATGAAAATGAAGTTTCATGATGTTACTTTTTCTAGCATAAGCGCCGTCTACCGTTTACCGCTCAATCTTAACGTTCAAAGCTTCTTAACGTTTCGCGCTCTGACCGCGAAAGTGTAAGTAAGCCAAAAACTAAAGCGATTTTGCTCTGAAATGAAGTTCAACGTAAAATTAAAGTCTATATAAACTTATGAACTTTCTTAACGGTGTGAACTTTCATTCTGAGAAGAAGAGAGAGAGGTCGGTTAATTCAGTAGTTAGCTCTTCCTAAATAGTTATAGCAACACTTTCAATAACTCTAATGCTCGTAAACTTTGCGGTACGCGGCCACTGCATAATGCATTAAAAATTTCCATATGACCTCGTAACGCTGTTAATGATTTAGCGATGGCACGAGAAGGAAAAGAAGATAAAAGAAAAAGAAAAAGAAAAAGAAAATAAAAAAAAGAAAAGAAGGTAGGAAATAACAGCAAGTTAATCTCGCTATGACTAAAACATTCGTTAAAGAAATAGGATAGCAAAGGTGTAAAAGGTGTTACGATATCTTTCTCTAACATTTTTCAATCTAAAAGCAAATTAATTAAGATAGTACAGTCCTGGATCAAGGTAGCCCCCTGTTAACGCCTCTCAAACCACCGACTCGTGAGGGAGCATTCCATATGCATAGCTTGCGGCTACATCTCAGACTGACTACATCACCAAATCCCGTCCCTTGCACCACCTTGCACCCTTTACCAAGTCCTAGTCAACCATTTCCCTTGGTAACTGCTGTGTAGATCGTATATCCATTCTGTTCTGCCTTCTCCCCCCCCCCTTCCCCTCCTCCTTTACTTCCTCCTCCTCCTCCTATTTCTACCTTGCCTACAGTTATACATATAATTATATATCTATACTGTAGTGAAACGTGCTATCTACACATCTCAATAACAATAACAAGGAACTTACCAAGCATCAAGGAAGCCTTTGGGCCTTATTTGAGTTTCTCTCTCTTTCACTTGTTCCCTCCATCCTTCGACCAGAAGATTAGATTTTGATGCTATTAGGAAATTCCAGTGAATCGTGAGGTAGGTTGGAACGCTACGGAAAACTTTTGGACCGCTTTCATTAAAAGATTTGCTTAAACTCTCTCGCGCGACGTTAAAGGCACGAATCAGGCGCATGAAAAGCGGTTTAAAGGAACATAGTGGCAATTTAAAGTCAACTTTTGTTGGTTAGACGAATTAGATCTTTTAAACGATTAATATATCATTCGTTCAAATTACAAAAAAAAGAAAAAAAAGAAAAGGATTATATTATATCTGTGAAATGAATCGATAATGTTTACGATGCCTAATTATATATATATATAGAGAGAGAGAGAGATTATAAGTAGAAATTTTTATTATCGCGTATTATTTCATTTCACGCTTTTCTCATACGTGAAAACATTAAAGTGTTTTCTCTTCGTTAATTGGTATCTCCTCCATAGTGATGCGAGATATTGTTAGATTCGATTAACGAAATGAAAGAGACGCGTTATTTTTAGTTTTACCTCTCACAATTTCCCGGTTAAGCTTAACGCGTACAAAAAATATCAATAAAATGAAATTCCCGTGAGGGGTATGCCCCTCCCTCCCTCCTTCCCCTTCCTGTCGTAGAAAATTTTAATTGCCACTGTTAGACCTGTGTGAATAATAAGTACTTGAACGATCGAGAGCTTAATAGCGACCTGAAAGAGTGTTCCCTTTAAGCTCACCTCATAATCGAGCTACATCGACGTGATTAATCCTCCCGCGAAATTTCTACCCTTATATACGATGGAATATTGTTCTCGCTCACTCTCTCTCTCTTTCTCACTCTCCCTCACTCACTCACTCACTCTCTCTCTCTCTCTCTCTCTCTCTCTTATTCCTTCTTTCCTTCTTTCTCCCTTTCTTTACTTTTTTTTTGCCTTTCGTAAGTCGACATTCTACGAGAAAATGTTCCCTGCACTTTTACAATATTTATTTTTCAATCTTCCACCAACAACTCTCTTCTGTCCGTTCCTCTTTCTCGTTCTATCTTGGAACGTTCCCAGAGACAGAATAGAAACACGTAGCATAATAAACGTTAGAACAATTCGCAAGTTCGTCCATTGTTCCAACTTAGAGGGAACGGGTAAAGCAATACGCGCCGTGTTTCAACCTCTAAGAAAGCTATCGCATCTTGTCCAAAATACTCGGGGAAACATTGCACACTTGCATACGTCTTGGCGGGAGATAAATACAAGCCGAGTATAATCGCATAACGAAAGTCGCATTGTTTGGACGTTCTAACTATAATTGGGTAAGTTAAATAACTTAATAAATTTATGTCTGCAAAGAGTAAGAATGATGTTTTAACTCGTTCAACGACCAGCATGAAAAATCGCTACTGTTTCTTTTGGGGAGGGAACGGCCTAAAATTTAATCTGATTGTGAGAAGTATAAAAAAAAAAAACTACAAGTTATGGTAAAATGATACGATGCAATATCGATGAAACGATACGATGCGTAAATTCTAAAATATATACGCAGAAATTGTCTACCTTGACCTCGTTGAACGTCATCTCGTATTTCTCTCTCTTTTTACTATCGATTGCAACGAAAAAAAAAAAAAAAACAAACAAAAAGAATGAAATGGAAATAAACCTTTTTATCTAACAACAATTTTCTATCGAGTGCAATAATAAATAGACAACATCATTAGGCATTATTATAGAATATTTACGACATTATTCTTCCCATGGAAATTCTTTCTTTCGAGATATACAAAAGAATTCCCATTGTTATTGAATGATTGACAAAAATGTTCTATCTCTAAAAAAAAAAAAAATATCAAAGTGAATATCTTTTTATTAAATATCTATATATATAACAAATATGCGATCGATATGGTAGGTATCGGTCATCCATTTGACAATGTGACACGATAAAAAAAAAAAAGAGAGAAATATCAAATGTTTCGCGAATTCAATCAGCACAAACAAAAAAATAAAATATGTATTTCAAATATGTCCATAAGTCAAAATGAAACGAAGTCTAATTACTTAGGTTGGTTGCTTGTTGTTAACTACGATATAGAAAATATATATATATAATTATAATCCTTAAAGCAACGTAAGGTTAGCACGTCGTAAAATGCCTTCGCCTTTCAGAACTGTAACTGTACACCGGGTGTACGGAAAGGTCCCCGATCCAATCGGCGAGGCTATCAGAAGTAGTGATTAAAATGGGAGGTGAGTGCTTGGTCGGCAAAAGGGGTTGAAGGTGGTCTTGAATGCTGGTAGGTGGGGCGCGAGGGAGGGTGAGGTCTCTCTCGTTTCGGGCTTGGGGAAACGTAGATAACACTTCTTACCCGAGGGACTTCCCGCGACCCCAATCTCAAGTCAGATATTGTTCCGAGCTTTGAAAGCTCAAAAGAACTTGTGAAAAGGCATTTCGTCTCGATTCGATGTATTATATCTGGCTCATACGTATTGTACTCCCGATCTCTCGCTTCGCGACTTTGGTTAAAAGGAAAAATATCGGGAAAACCGTCCTTACTTACTTTTTGGTACTACTCTGGATTGACGTGCCTTCTAATCTATGGTCGTTCGCCCACCCCCCTCTACTCTCTACTCTCTTTTTCTATTTCTTTTTTTATGATTTTTTTTTTNTTTTTACTCTCTTCCTCTTTCTTTCTTCTACTTACTCTTTATTCAACTTTCTTTATTTCTTTCTTTCTTTCTTTCTTTCTTTCTTTCTTTCTTTAAACTTTGATATATTTTTATTCGAGAAAAGTTATGGTCAGTGTAAAAAAGTTTCTTTGTGTGTGTGTGTGTGTGTGTGTAAAAAGTGGCGTTAACTTTTAAATGACATTAATGTACAAAAATATAGACATAGGTTTCATGTACTTTCAATTGTCTGCGTAATCCAAATAACACGTTCCAAGAAATTATCTTACACGCACGTCTTGGCAACGAGGTCTTATTTTACTACTCGTATCACACGCGAGCGAGGAGGCATGCCAATGTTATTTGAAAAACTAATTTAACATTGTCGAAGAATAAAACCACCAAAGGAGCTTATCGAAGTAGAAAAACTCTCGAGTAATCTAAGTTAACTCTACCAATAATATAGCAGTTTGTTTTTTTTTTCTTTTATGATAAATTTACCCTTGCCAGTTCAGACACATCAAAGTATTGTGAAACCCATTTGAAAAGAACAATGATAAAAAGAAAGAGGAAGAGAGAGAGAGAGAGAGAGAGAGAGAGAGAGAGAGAGAGAGAGTGGGAGTATATTCGATAAAAATTCGTC